GCTTTAGGTAAGAAGAAGGCTTATATGAAAATTTTTAAACAAAGATAATGGTTGCGAGAAAGTGGAATTGAGTTTTGTGTCCTGAGATACAAACAAAATCTGAACTGATCAGATAAATAATTTTGATACATTTGAAAGACGAACGTCACTAATTAAATTATATCCATTATTAATCATTATGCCCTAACGAAAATAGTATAGGATTGTGCGGACTTGAATTGCTTTTTGCACATCAATGGGAATTCATTACCAATGCCAAGATATTTTCCTCAAACAAATTACCTACCCCTTCCTTTTCTTGTGCAATTATCTGTCAATTTCTTGATAAGAGCATGTCCCTTTTGTAACCTATAAGGTCACATCTACACGATGCTGATCAAAAAAGGACAAAATGGTTGTCAAACCGCATAACAAGGACATTTCACCTATAATTGGTCATGTGTTTTCATTATCCCCACACCTTAAAATTTAGTAACACTGGCATATCCATCGTTTCTAGCTACAAAGTGGCTTGAAATCGTCTTCGGCCGACAACAGCTCAGTTGTCATCTCCCTTGGTGGATTTAAGGTCACAGACTGATGCATGCGCTTCATCATAGTTTGTTAGATTGGTCATTGATCTAACATTTTCTCTTCACAAGTTTGGTTTTAAGTGACGCGGTGAGTGAAAAACCCTCTGTTCTATTAATAAAAGTTTAACAAAACAATCCCCAAAAGGGTATATGAAATAAATTTGTTCATAAGAAGTTGTTTGCTCTGCTGTAACTGCAGTTCTAGAGTAAGTTGTGCTGCTATATATATATATAACTGTGGTCACATGCAATTGTAGTTACAGTTGCATGATTTTAACAGTATATTTGTAGTTTTAGTTATAAGTGTCCATCTATAACATCCCTTTCGGTATATATGACCAAGTGAAATGAGAATGGAAGGAAACAAGAAATGAAATGACATTAATGTGAAAATAGTGGAAGACTCATTTTCGTTCTCACATTTGGACACAATTAAGGGTTTTAGATTTGGATGTGGTGTCGCCGTGTCGGACTTGA